TAATTTACTTTGTAATTCCTGAAGTTCTGTTGTTATTTCAAGGGGCAGCTTAGTGGCATAAGAGAATAGGGATAGCAACAGAAAATATGATTAGATGCCTGAGAAAAAATGTGCAGTGAAGATCAAACACTGGAGCAAGTTGCCCAAAGAAGTATTAAAATCTCCATCCTTGGAAGTATTCTAGATTTGGCTGGATATTCTGAGGAACCTGCTCTAACTTCAAAGGCCGATGTGCTTTTAGCGGGGACTTGGATTAGATGACCTCCAGAGGTCGTTTCCAGTCTAAATCATGCTCAAATTCTGAGAATGTTCTGCTCTTCTGACAATAGTTTGCAATGAAAGTACTAGTTTACAAAGGCTTATAGAATGTGAAATTTTTCAGGCTAGCAATAAGATCAGTAAAATGTGCCCTTGGAATATCCTTTGCAGTAACATCAAGTATTTCACCAAATTACCAAAGACTGAATTCACTACCATTGGTACCACAAAGGTCACTGCTGTCAACCCCTGGCTTATGGGCCTAACTTCTTTTATTTCTGCCGAAAATAAAGCATTGGCTTCTGCTCTCCATTGTAGATTTGCTGGCACTTTGCTAGTTAAAAAAATATCCTGGATGGAAGTCCTAGTGAATGATTCATTCCATCTCCCAGCGAAGGAAGAGTTTTCCCTACTGCGTGCTGCTAGCTCCTTTCCTCATCCCATTCTAAGTCTCCCAAATGACAAGGTTTACTCTACTGTATTTGCCAGTCTAATTGTTGCCTTCATGAGGACGAGCTCTCTCTGTTGTTTTTCCCTAATGCCAGTCTAAGTTTTCTCCTAATACCTCTTTCCTGTTCTCCTATTTCTATCTCACATATTATATTAATATTCTTGTCTCACTCTTTGGTGTTTAAATTTAATCTACTTGTATCATGAACTGTGGTTCACCTCATTCTTTTAGCAGCTTATATGTGATCGTGCTTATTTTCCTCGAGTATTGCTCTCAGAAATGCAGCCATTTCTTGCATCTCTGAAGTCTTCGGTGTTTGGAACTGAACAGAAATTTCCAAGCCTGTGCCTAGAAGAATTTAGGTAATTGTTCCCTTGCTCTGTGATGAGGTACCTCTGAATAAACAGGGCAGAAGTGCATTTAGCTTTCTTTTACTGATCACAGCTGTAGAAATTTGTCAGTCACTGTCAGGGCTCTTCCAGCATTCCAGCCTCCCTATGGAGTATTCCCACAGTGTAGGTGTGTTATGGGATGTCCAGAATGATCCTTTCTGATAAGTTGTTAAAATTTATGGGTTCACGTTTCTCATTGGAGAAACAGAAATAGAGGATAAATGTAGTGAAATGTTTTGTATGCACTGAAACCAGGCAAACCATGGGTTGTGCCACCAGCATAGCTTTCCTTTCAATGTGTTAAAATATCAATAGATACTACCTGCATGCAATATGAAACATAAACTATGGAGAGATTTTCATGCAGCTCTTACCTCATATCAAGTGCTGTAAGATCATCTAGATAGACATGGGATACAATGAGAAATATGATGACAAATTAAGTATGTTGAGCAAGAGAAGAGAACCAAACTCAGTGATAGAAGGGAGGAGGATGGAGCAGGCTGGGGAAATGGTGATTCCCCAATGTAAATACCCCATATAGCTCTCCAACTTAATGTTCACACCATAACCTAACAGCTATCCTAATTCTCGTTCCCTCTCCTCTTGCTTCTCTTCTGTCCTCTCTATACCTGTGTCCAAACCTGAGGAGGCCTGAAAGTGTGTCAGTGTGTGTGTGCACAGACTGTGTGCCCAAAAAGACCATTTGGACCTGCATATCTTTTAGGTATGTTAGTCATTCAGTGCTACCAGGAGTATGTTTTTGTTTAGCTAGAAAAAGAACATGTTCTATTTCACATTGAACTTCCCCTGAGGGAAAAGTGAACAAACATGTTTAAATTGCAAGAAGAAAAATTTTACTAATTCAAAATAATCTGATGGATCTCTAAACTCACAACAGAAGCATGGGAGGTTTGCCTACCAGTGTGAGGATGTGAATCTGAATCATCACAGAGGAAGGCCAGTGTGCCAGCAAAGCTCTCCGTTTGCTACATCAGGACAAGTCAGGGACCCTGTGTTAACTAACAATTCATCAGTCTCCGGCAGTAATTCCCTCCACAGGCAAAAGAACTGCGCATCTACATTTCTACTTCAGTTGTGGTGGGACACACAGGCAGTCTTCCACACAGATAGATATTCAGCCCGTTCCCTGGGGGCTCTTACCACACAACGTCTGACCTAAGGCACACTGAATGCAGTGTCTCTCATTTAGAGACCTGTCTATATCTGCTTCTGTTTGTTGTGAAACTCAACTGTAGAATATGTTAGATAATGTCTCCTTTATTAAGCCTCTAAATAATAGTTGTCTTGCAGCAATAAGCCAGTCACATCTGTCAAAAGTTTGAGAAAAGCTGTACTCAGTTCAAAACAGTACTTTTATTTCCAACTCTTTAACAGAGACCAGCTTCTAAATATGATATCTTTTTGCAAGTGTTTCTGGAAGTCAACCTTTCTGACTGTTTTTCTTTGGCATCTACTATTCCAACAAAGAATGACCTTAATCATTTTATAAAGAGGTAGTTGTTTTTTTCATTTCATAGTTATGAGTAGAGCAGTGTTTAAGAGTTGGTCAATGTTTCCAATATATTCCAGTTTGCCCAACTAAAGTTAAAAGAATAATGGATTTTTGTATTTGGGCATTTCTTTAGAACACCATAGATTTTCCCTTTAGCTTGTCTGTGGACTCTGCTATGTCTTGTGTTTTCCAGCAAGGCTTGCACTGTCTTTTATCTTGTACCTGTTGAATATTGTCAGCTGTTCTTTAGTTGTGTAATTCAGACATATAATACTTAAGTATTAAGTGAAAAGCTACTGATGTATCTTTGTGATGCAGAAAGAGGCATCCTAGTTACTGAAATAGATGGGAATGAACCCATATTTGTGGAATTGTGATCTGAAAGTACTTACTAGGGGTTGTTTTTAAGTATAAATTAAATATAAATATAAATAATTGTGATAATTTTGTCAAAAAGAAAAGATCCAGAGATATCAATCTGATCAAAACAAGATTTTCCCATAGGAAAATGTTAGTTGTGTTTATGGGGTTGTTTTTTTTTTTTTTTTTACTGCCTTCGTCCTCTTTCCAAAGCAAGGTGAAATATCTGCAATTCATTGTTGCAGAACAACAATGCTGTGCTTCTTCCTAAAGGCGGGGATGCCAGGAGTGGCAGCAGGACTGGATCCCTTTGGCCAGGGCCCATCCTACTGTTCCTTGCCAGAGAGCAGGATAGGCCAGAGAGCAGCCCTGGTCTAGGGCACAGGGCACTGTGTAATGACAAGGCTGGTCCAGGGCCAAGCTAGGAATGTGAGCCAGTGAGTCAGGGTCAGAATCAGGACTGGTGAGGGTAAGCAGAACCAGACACAGCCAGCCCTCACCAGCCATGTCCTTTGTGATGAGGTCCCAGGTGTAGGTTCATGGCCCTGCAGATGGGTCAGCTCTGCTTGATCCCTTCCCACAGTCATCAAAGATTGAGGCCAGTCCCCACCAGTGTCACCTCTAGGTCCACTCTGTGCCACAGAAGCTACACATACAGGACAAGGGATGTTGTCATGGGCCTTACTTTTCTATTTTATTTTTTAAAATATATTTAAGAATCAGTATATTTGTTCTGGTGGAGACCATTTGTAAGTATTCATAGACAATCTAAAACTATCTTGATGGTTTTTCCTCAGCGTTTTTCCTACAGTGCTTTTCCATGTAGTCCCAAAAGATATGAGATGGAGAGACTGCTATCTTAGAGATAGGTAGTATTGCATATTCCATAGATCTTTTTAAAATAAAAGTTATCTGAGAGGTCAGAGGGAGAGGATGAGTTCTGCTGAGTACTGTGGTCAGGTTGAAGGATAAACATTGTTCGATATTGACTACAAGGATGATGTTAAGATTCTACTTTACTACAATGTAGTGATCTCAGCCTAGCTCACTGAATACAGCAGGCCATTTTCCCCAATCATTCCCTGCTCTGAATTCCCAATCAGAGGTTGTCTTGGATAAAACCAGTAAGATCTGTGCTAGGGTCTTCAGTTTCCTGTCATCAAAATGACATCCTTTGGAAGTCATTTTCCCCAGAGGGAAGCCCTACCTAGTTTTAATCTCATTAGTGCAACAGAAAGGATAACCAGAAATCTGTATAATGACGAAACAGGGATTTTACAGAGATACTGAACTTGAAAAGATTGTGAACATTTGTGACATTAGAAACTTACTGCTTATTGCAGCACCTGGCTCTTTGATGAGTTAAACATCTACCATTACAGTTGCCTCAAATAATTCAGCAGAGATCATGTCCTAAAATACAACAGAAACTCAGCACTCTGCCTCTGTTCTGTCTTTAGAAATGAGCTGGCTTGTTCCTAGTTGAATTGTATTTTCTTTCCATTGAAAACTTTTCCACTGTAAACTTAGATGATTAGTTTAAAATTGTCTCTTTTGCCCAGCAGTGTTGTGTTGTGCTAAGTCTGGTTGTAGCATGACGAGAAATATCTCTCTTTCTGGAACACAAGATGTATCTGACCCTTCCTTACCTAATCTACTATTTTTTTTTTTTTTTAGCAAAATGGGAGGTCAGGAGGGGAGAGAGGGCAGAGGGAAGGGGTAGAAAGAGAAAAGAAAACCATTCAGGCTTTTGCATTGTGCTTTCAGTATAGAAGGGGGCCAGGAAAGCTTAACTCCTGAAGTTTGTCAAAAGTATCATTAAAGAAAACAGTGAAAGAACTAATTATACTGCATCATTCTAGAGATAAAGAGGCTCTGTATTGCAGCAGTATGCCATTCTCATGGACCCAAGGGTAGTGTTATTTATTAGAAAAAAATATATAAATCTATTTCTTATTTGGAACCTTTTATGAATTGATCTCTGAATGTTTCACAAGTTGAGTCTCTCATCTCCTTTTTACAGATGGAATAACTGAGATACTGTCTGTGAACTGCATGCAAAGGAACACCACGAGCACAAGCAGTAGGCAGAATTTGAGATTTGTGAGCAGAGAAAAGGAATCCATGCTACCCCTGTGAGTACACCAACATTACCAGGTAAGAGTACCAAATGATGGGTTAGATTCTGGAGAACCACTCTTCTCTCCCTTCAGAAAGGCACAGTTCTACTGCTGGTTTCAGGAGGACCTGAATTTTAGACCGCTCTTCCATGTAGTAATAATACCTATAATGAAGGCACTGTGAGTAAACACATGTGGTTACATCTTTACAGCTGAAAATCCTTTCTAAATTCCACTTTAAGGTGAAATAGCTGCTGTACAGACTTTTGGCGTATCCGTACTTAGAAGCAATACACCAGGTCTATTGTATCAGCAAGTCATGGTCTTTTTACAGTTATAGTTTTTCCTGTGTACATAATCAGTCAATATTTGGCCCATACAATTGCTGTTCTTCCTCCAAAAGGGCAAATGGTTAACTTCAGAGTGCCTTGAGTTTTCCTTGAGGCTTCAGAGTAGCCTGAGCCTTGTTTAATACAGGGAGCCCAGAGCCTCAGTGGACTACTGACCATCACTTTTAAAACTACTAGATAGAGGAAGAACATCAAAGCTCTCAAACATCTCTCCTGTCAACAATGTCCAACATATCCCTTCCTCTGCCTCCATTTTTTCACTGTCATTTGAACAGTTGCAGACTTCTTTTCAGCCTTAAAAGATTGTTGTGGATTTTTTTGTTGTTTTCTTTTTTACCTTTCTAATGACGTTTTGCATTTTGGAGCTAATTATATATGGAGAGAAAAATGGCTGTATCAGATTGGATTGAGTCATACTCTAGCTAGCCCAGGATCCTGCACCCAAAAAGTGACCAAAACCAGATGCTTGGTGAAGAGCATCAGGATGGGGCAAGCTTTCACTTAATACGTTGCCAGCATAGTCATATTTTCCAAGCAACCTACAATACAGAAACTATCTGCAGCAGGGATGGTTATGTGTTTAAGTTCTATCAGGGAAAGGGGAACATCAGGAGAGAAGACGTTGAGTCTAGGTCTCACATTCACATGATCAGTACATTCATTTGTTTGATACTGCATTGCTTTCTATTTATTTCACGGATTTCTTTCTGCAGTTCATATAATTTATGAATTATTTTTCAGAAAGTCCATTCTTACTACTTGGACACTAGAGAGAATTTTTATTACAGCATGAAGAATTTTTCTAATCTGATGTCACTTAGCTCAGAAGTATTTTCCCTTTTACCATGTCTGCCTGCTAGCATTGTTTCCAAAAGATGCTGAAATCAAATTCTGCCTGTTTCATGTTTAAATCTTTACAAACATCTCTTGAAAAAAACCAAACACTTAATTCCTGACAGTAAACAAACACCTTCCCTTCCTTTTGTTGTAATTTCTTACTGGTATGTTCAGGTTTTATTTTCAGAACAACGTGACATGTTTTGCTAATGATGTACTATTGTCTGGCATACCATATGGGTTCCTCCTTGCTTTTTTTTTTTCTTGTTAAGAAGATCTGCAGCTGCTTCTCCAAGTAGCTGAGCAACTAACCCACGAAAATTGGGACAGTATGTTAAAGTACATAATGTGCTATTTAATTAACTTCCTAACATACCTGTCCAAAACCAGAGTCTAGTTGTAGCAGAAAAAAGTATGTCTCCTATCTAAACAGTCTCAGTAGACAAGTGGCATTTCTTGAAGGAAAAACTTCATTCAGTATACAAGCATAGGAGTAACATGCATTACAAATTTAATCTCAGAAGGAAGTGGAAGTGTATAATCTAGAAGTTACAATTTTGATTCTCAGCAAGTTACTTTATTGTGATTTGGGGTAATTACACACACACAGCTTCAAGGTTTTCTTTTACGTGCTCCAACAGATTACTTAGATTGGACCAACAATTAAAATCTCACTCCACTTACTTAGTGAACTTACTGAACAAGGACCAATCCTACAAAAAATTCATATTGATATCATTTGATCCAGTTGACTCTCAGGAAAGTACTCATTTGTAAAGTGAGACACATCTGTAAGTCTTGAACGATTAAAGTCTTTCCCAGAAGTCTTGTCTCACAGAATCACAGAATCACAGAATTGTAGGGGTTGGAAGGGACCTCCTGAGATCATCGAGTCCAACCCCCCTGCCAAAGCAGGTTCCCTACAGCAGGTCGCACAGGTAGGCATCCAGGCAGGTCTTGAACATCTCCAGAGAAGGAGACTCCACCACCTCCCTGGGCAGCCTGTTCCAGTGCTCCATCACCTCACTGTAAAGAAGTTCTTGCGCATGTTTGTGCGGAACTTCCTATGCTCCAGTTTCTGGCCGTTTCCCCTTGTCCTGTCTCCACTCACCACTGAAAAGAGTCCGGCCTCGCCATTCTGCCCCCCACACCTTAGATATTTATAGACCTGGATCAGGTCCCCTCTCAGTCTTCTTTTCTCAAGGCTGAACAGACCCAGTTCACTCAGCCTTTCCTCATAGGAGAGATGCTCCAGGCCCTTCACCATCTTTGTGGCCCTCCGCTGGACTCTTTCCAAGAGATCCCTGTCTTTTTTGTACTGGGGAGCCCAGAACTGGACGCAGTACTCCAGATGAGGTCTTACCAGGGCAGAGTAGAGGGGGAGGATCACCTCCTTTGACCTGCTGGCCACGCTCTTTTTAATGCACCCCAGTCAGCCATTGGCCTTTTTGGCCACAAGGGCACACTGCTGGCTCATGGCCAACCTGTCATCCACCAGGACACCCAGGTCCCTTTCCGCAGAGCTCCCCTCCAGCAGGTCATCCCCCAACCTGTACTGGTGCATGGAATTATTCCTCCCCAGATACACTTGCTACACTTGCTTTTGTTAAACCTCATCCGGTTTTTTTCTGCCCAGCTCTCCAGCCTATCCAGGTCTTGCTGAATGGCAACACAGCCTTCAGGCGTGTCAGCCAATCCTCCCAACTTCGTATCATCGGCAAACTTGCTGAGGGTGGCCATTATCCCCTCATCAAGGTCATTGATGAAGATGTTGAACAAGACCGGACCCAGCACAGACCCCTGAGGAACACCGCTAGTTACAGGCCTCCAACCGGACTCTGCACCACCAACAACTACCCTCTGTGCTCTGCCAGTCAGCCAGTTCTCAACCCACCTCACTGTCCACTCATCTATCCCACACTTCCTCAGCTTTGTTATAAGGACGTCATGGGGGACAGTATCAAATGCCTTGCTGAAATCAAGGTAGACTACATCCACTGCTCTCCCCCTATCCACCCAGCCAGAGACAACATCATAGAAGGCTACCAGGTTGGTCAAGCACGACCTCCCCCTTGTGAACCCGTGCTGACTACTCCTGATAACCTCCTCTTCTTCCAGTTGTCTGGAGATGACATCCAGTACAAGCTGTTCCATCACCTTTCCAGGGACAGAGGTGAGGCTGACTGGCCTATAATTGCCTGGGTCTTCCTTCTTGCCTTTTTTGAAGACCGGGGTGACGTTGGCTATCTTCCAGTCTTCAGGCACCTTCCCCGTCTTCCAAGACTTCTCAAAGATGACCGAAAGCGGTTGTCTCAGGCTTCAGTCCATGTGCAAAATGCACATGTAAATTTCTCATCAGTTTGCTTTGTGAAAATTTCTTTTGTGTGTCCACACACTGTGCGTCATTTACAGTACAATTTGAATTCTTGTATATTTCTTTGTTGCACCTCCTGAGACACATGGCCCAAGATGTGAGAAGTAAAAATGTCTGTGTCAGTATGTCTTAACACCTCAGGGCAGCAAGAAGTGCTGAAGCATCCTCTGGTATTAATAAAAGGCTTTGGTTTTGTGCCTTACTGTGCTTTGTACAACACTTATTCTGTAGCAATACAGTGAAACAGAATGTGGCAGGCCCACCACATGCACATGTGACAAATCTCATGCTGCCAGTGTGAGACGTTCATTCCTGTTTCCCACTCTCTAGCCTCAGCTACTGCAGCTCCTAGAGGGTGCCGTTTTCCCTGCCACAAGGACCCTCCCAGTCTGCCCAGCCTTTTGGCTCCATACGAAGGAGTTACAGACTTCTTGCTGCTTATAATTTAGGAAGACAAATGCCCTGCCAGAAGCTGAAAATGTTAAAAACACAAATACGATTATTCTTTCTGTACTCATTCGAGTGCTTTGATTTCAGAAAGACTGTTTTCATAACTACCTTCTAAATATTACTCGTTACCTTCCTGGCTGCTTTGCATGTTGTTTTTCTTTTCACTTAAGATGTATTGCTTACACTGGGAGAAGCTGTGTGGCCCCGTTTGACTAGTTTGACTGGCCTCATACAGTGTGAGAACAAGGACATATGGCAGGAGTTAGCACATCCAACATCCAATTTGCCACCCATGTATGGCCTTCAGCAAGTTGTCTCTTAACACAACATGTCAGTTCCCCTATGCATTTGTGAAAGGAGTAGAGACAGTAATATCTTCCCTATGGTAATATCCTGAATGTCTCTTAAAGATCATACTGAGCATGGGATGTTCACTGCTTCTCAGGAACAAAGTACTTGTGAAAGCGCTACTGGCAGAAAGTTGGACCCTGACCTCATGCAACATTCTCACCTTACCATGACAGTTGTCTGTGCACACTCCAGCAGACACATCCCCCTCTGTTTTGTAAGTGGATATAGTCAGAAAAATGTATCATAGAGAAGAGATTGTAAGGGGAACAAGGAGTAAGCTGGAGGTGAGGCGAATGTTGGCCTACATCTCACCAACATCATTCTCCCTAGAGGAAATCAAAGAAATATGAGCTTTGCAGACACCGGCCTTAGTTTAAATGCCTTCTGTGGTAAGTTTGATTCCAGCTGTTGTTGGATACCTGTGCTTGGATTTCACATAATTTTTCCAACGGAATAATTCTGTAAGTATAATATTAGAAATGTTTGTTGTTTTTCTTGGAAGACTTTTTTTAATAATAAAACTAGAAGCTTTCTAACCGTAACTTAACTACAATTCTTCTATACAGTCCTGCTATTTATTTTTTTTTAACTGAAATTACCTAGAAATGTGAAGGCCGTGATGATCAATGGGAGCTGATCGATGTTTGGCAGGTTCTGCCAAGGAAACCTCTTAAA